TCACTCTCACCACTTTTATTCCACACAGTACTGGAAGTCCTAGCCACAGCAATAAGACAACAAAAAGAAATAAAAGGCATCCAGATTGGCAAGGAAAAAGTCAAACTTTCACTATTTGCAGACATGATACTATATGTGGGGAACCCAAAGACACTCCCCCCCCCAAAAAAAACCTGCCAGAACTGATAAATGAACTCAGTAAAGTCAAAGGATACAAAATCAATGTGCAAAAATCTGTTGCATCTCTATACAACAATGAAGCAGCAGAAAGAGAAATTAAGAAAAAAATCCCATTTACAGTTGCACCCAAAATGATACAATTCCTAACCAAAGAGGTAAAAGACCTATACTCTGAAAACTGTAAAACACTGATGAAAAAAATTGAAGACAATACAAAGAAATAGGAAGACATTCCATACTCAGGCATTGGAAGAACAAATACTGTCAGGATGTCTATACTACCCAAAATAATCTACACACTTAATACAATTTCTATCAAAATACCAGCAGTATGTTTCACAGAGCCAGAACAGACAATCCTAAAATTTGTATGGAAGCACAAAAGACCCCAAAAAACCAAAGCAATCTTGAAAAAGAAAAGCAAATTGGGAAGCATCATAATTCCAGACTTCAAGTTATATTACAAAGCTGTAGTAATCAAAACAGTAGGATACTGGCACACAAATAGACATATAGATTAATGGAACACAATAGAAAATCCAGAAATAAGCCCACAGCTATGAGGTCAATTAATCTTCACAAAGTAGGGAAGAATATCCAGTGGAAAAAGACAGTCTCTTCAGCAAATGATTTTGGGAAAACTGGATAGCAACATGCAAGAGAATCAAACTGGGCAACTTTCTTAAACCATACACAAAAATAAATTCAAAATGGATGAAGGACCTAAATGTGAGACATTAAACCATAAAAATCCTAGAAGAGGGCACAGGCAGTAATTTCTTTGACATTGGCTGTAGCAACATTTTTCTAGATAGGTCTCCTGAGGCAGGGAAACAAAAGCAAAAATGAACTATTTGGACTACATCAAAATAAAAAGCTTCTGCACAGAAAAGGAAACCACAAAACTAAAAGGCAACCAACAGAATGGGAGAAGATATTTGCAAATGACATATCTGATAAAGGGTTAGTATCCAAACTATATAAAGAATTTACAAAAACTCAACACCCCAAAACCAAATAACCCAATTGAAAAATGGGCAAAAGACATGAACAGACATTTCTCCAAAGAAGACACACAGATGGCCAAAAAAGGCACATGAAAAAATGTTCAACATTACTTATTATGAGGGGAATGCAGATCAAAACTATGAGATACTCCCTTATACCTGTCAGAATGACTAAAATCAACAATGCAAGAAAGAACAGGCATTAGCAAGGATATGGAGAAAAAGGAGCCTTTGTGCATAGTTGGTTGGAATGCAAACTGTTATAGTTACTGTGGAAAACAGTATGAAGGTTCCTCAAAAAGTTAAAAATAGAACCATCTTGTGATCTGGCAATCACATTACTGGGTATCTACTCAAAGAATACAAGAACACTAATTCAAAGTGATATATGCACCCCTCTGTTTATAGCAGCATTATTACCAATAAGCAAAATATAGAAGCAGCCCAAGTGCCCGCTGATAGATGAATGGATAAAGAAGACGTGGTATATATATGATGGAATAATATGTGGCCCAAAAAATAGAATGAAACCTTGCCATTTACAATGTCACGGGTGGAGCTGGAGAATATAATCCTAAGCAACATAAATCAGCCAGAGAAAAACAAATACCATATGATTTCAATCATGTGTGGAATTTCAGAAATAAAACAAATAAGCAAAGGAGAAAGAATAAGAGAGAGAGACAGATCAAGAAACGGACTCTTAATTACGGAGTACAAACTAATGGTTACCAGGGGGGAGGGAAGTGGGGGGATGGGTGAAATAGGAGAAGGGAATTAAAGACTGCATTTGTAGTGATGAGCATAGAGTGATGTATGGATCACATGTATGGATGTATGTTGAATTAGTCTACTGTACACCTAAAACTAACATAACACACTATGTTAAGCAACTGAAATTAAGATAAAAACTTAAATTTAAAAAGAAACTTAAATAGACTGGTGAGTTAAGTATATTCATGCTCTTTATCCAGAAATTTCATTCTTCAATTTGTTTTAAGGAAAAGAAATTAGAGATATGGACAGAGATGTGTTATCATTGCAGTACTATTCATATTCATTCTAAATTATGTACTATAAGACAGTGAATTGTTTTATAGCCATTAAAAGCTACTATTTCAAAGGATTTTTGATGAAAGTAGTTTTGAAGTCATAATATTAAGTTTAAAAAGCACAGAGTTGCCTATAAGTGTGTGTTTGAGTTTAAAAATACAACAACTGGGGCATCTAGCTGTTTCAGTGGGTAGAGCATGTGACTCTCGATCTTGGGGCCATATGTTCGAGCCCCACCTTGGGTTTGGAGATTACTTAAAAGAATAAAATATTTAAGAAAAAGAATATACTCACAGTGTTAATGATTATCTTTAGTGTAGTAATACAAATATGTCTTCTTCTTGTTTTTTTATTCCACAGTAGTTCCCCCATATCTGCAGGGAATATGTTGCAAGTCTCCCAGTGGGTGGCTGAAACACAAATAATACCAAACCCTCTATTTACAGTCTTTTTTCCTACACATGCATACCTACGATAAAGTTTAATTTGTAAGTTAGACACAGTAAGACATTAACAATAACCAATAATAAAATAAAGCAATTACAATAATACAGTGTAATAAAAGGTAGTCTCTTTCTCACTCAAAACATCGTACTGTCTGTACTTACCCTTGTTCTTGTGAGGTGATGTGACATGATAAAATACCTATGTGCTGAGATAAAGTGAGGTGAGTGACAGACATTGTGATGTAGCATTAGTCTACTGATGGCCTGACGGTATGTCACGGGAAGGATCTGCAATCAGACTTGTGGAATCATGGGTAACCAGCTACAAAAGCAAAAACCACGGATAAAGGTGAACTACTGTATTTCCCAAATTCCAACAGTAAGCACCTATTTCTTTTATAACTAAGCAAACCAATACAAGTTAGTTTCCCCCCAAAAGCTGGCTTTGAAAGCAGGGATGGAATATGAGTTAGTGCTCGAGGAGGAAGGGGGGAGGAGGAGAAGACTGTTCTGTTTTAGACTGAGAAACCCAGGCATGGTGTGACGCCATGAGTGGAAAAGGCAATAGAGAAGGAGAGGCTAAATGAGAAAGATAAGTGAGAGCACAGGCTTCCTGAGGAGATGAGAGGGAACGAGAGATCCCGCCCCAGTAAAGGGATTAACTCTCCACTGAGAAGCGTACTCCCTTGGCTTTGATGAGAGAGAAGGAAATGACAGAAGGAAATGGCAGTGTTCACTTGGCATGCCGACTGCCTACAGCATGCCTGGCACAGCATGAATGGAGCATGTAAGTGTTAGAGGTGGAGAGGAGGGTTGAGGAATTTTCTCCAGTAAGTGCCGTGGTTCTCAAGAAGTGCAGTGGTATATTATAATGTATTATTTTTTGTGTGGGTCTGTATCTTTCTCTAAACTGTGAGCTTCCTGAGGTACCTGGATGGCTCAGTTGATTAAGCGACTGACTCTTGATTTCAGCTCAGGTCATGATCTCACAGCTCGTGAGTTTGAGCCCGGCATCAGGCTCTGCACTTTTCATGCTTGGGATTCTCTCTTTCTCTCTCTGTCTCTCTGCCCCTCTCCTGCTCACTCGCTCGCTCTCTTCCTCTCTCATAAAATAAATCAATAAACTAAATAAACTGTGAGCTCCCAAAGGGCAGAAGCAATCATGTCTTCTTATCTTCATGTCTGCCACACCATTCCAGTGACAGACTGGTGAAGGTAGATTGCTGGAGAAATGTTTGTTGGATGCATGAATGATGAATGAATACAGTATGATAGGAGACCTGAGGATCGTGGTGAGGGTTTCAAATAGTGTATGTGGGGATTAGAGGGAACTAACCAGTGACAAGCAAAGAGACCTGGTCAGCCTAAAGACAAAATTGAATAGACAGCATAACTCTGTAATTAAGAGGATTCCAATGAGAAGCTGGAGAAACTAACTGTAAGTACAAGTGATCTGTTCTGTTCCCTGTCCAATTACCCCCCCTTCTTTGAACCTGCCCTGCACTAGTCTTCATGTGCACAGGTGAAAGGATAGAGACCCACCCAGCCCAGCCATCACGGGAAAGAGTCGGTCCCCTAACTGCTAACGTTTGGTTTCCCTTTGTTTAATTCGAACCTGTATGGTCTTTTAAGCCTCTTTCTAAGTAATGCCTACCTTGCGTAGTAAATTGAACCACATATGTAGAAAAGTCTTTTAAACTATTCATGGCAATACAAAAGCAAGGAGCTATTATCTGGAGGGATATTTTACTTATTTTTATATGCTGAAAGTGAGAAGATGCCCTAAATTTTTAAATGCTTCGGGTCCTAGAATAGTTTTCCCCAGCCAGGTTTCAGGGCTCCGAAGCAGCCATTGGCCTAAATAGGAACATTCTACCCAAAGGAGAGGATTATATTTTTTTCCCCAGTGTACGTTTTTCCCTTACGGCTATCAGAACGATGAGAAGAGGAGTGGTTTAAATGTGAGCAGAAGCTGGGGTGCATGGGTGGCATAGTCAGTTAAGCGTCCAACTTTCACTTAGGTCATGATCTCGCGGTTCGTGGGTTCGAGCCCCGCGTCGGGCTCTGTGCTGACTGCCAGCTCGGAGCCTGGGGCCTGTTTCAGTCTGTGACTCCCTCTCTCTCTGACCCTCCCCTGCTCACGCTGTCTCTCTCCTAGAAATAAATTAAAAAAACATTAAAAAAAACACTTTAAAAAAAAAAAATAAATGTGAGCAGAAGCTGACAGGGACTGACTTCCCCAGGAGGCTCTGTAGAGTAGGAAAGGGTTCAATCAGACTATCATTTGTTACTCCTTTTTTTCTTCCCCAAACAGAACTGCATTGATGAAATTGAGGCCATAATCAGCGTTAAGCTCCAGCTCATCGGAATCGTCGGCATTGGAATCGCAGGTCTCACGGTGAGAAAGTTCCAGAGCTTACCTTTTTTTTGCTAAGAAGCCTTTGCATGTTGTTTGTCTTTGAGTGTGATAAGGCAGCACCTTAGGAGAGATTTCTCATAAAAGACAGACATTGGTTGACAGGACATCTTCAAAGAGCAAAGCTTATTAGATCTGTCAATTCTTAGGTTCTCTAAAATAGGATACACATTTTAACTTTCACCTAATTATGGCCTCGAGTTTATAACTTGCCATGTTGAGGCCACCAAACGTAAACTAGACAAGTGATTTTCAATTCTCGGTCTCTTGCTGTTAGAAACTTAAAAGAGCATATCGGGCTAATCCCTCTCACTTAGGATTTGCTGATGTAGCAGTGTCGTGATTAACAGTGAAAGCTCTGGCATCACACTGTCTGGATTCAGCGCCTACCTCCACTACTCATAAGCCCTGGGATCATGGGATAGTTTCCTAATGTCTCTATTCCTCAATTCCTTCCTCTGTAAAATGAGAATTTTAATGTACCAACCTCATAAAATTGTTGCGAAGATGAAATGGGACACATACATATAAAGTATTCTTAAGAATTAACTCCTATAAGGTGTCTGGAACATAGCGCTCAACAGATGCTCGCTCTGTGCATAGTCTGAGTGTCCCCAAACCCAGATTCCAGGCAAAGGAAATAACACACAAAAAATGTGAAGCCTAGTGCACCCAAGCACCTGCTCAGTGCCTCTATGGTACAAGTGCAAGGATATTAAGAGGCTGAAGGATTTGATAGCAGCAGGAGATGACACTGAAGAGGGGGTGAGGGTCCACAGAACTGTGGTCTCTGTGTGCCCTTTTGAAAGGCTGGGCTTCATCCTTAAGGTAGAAGGAAGCCACCGAGGGTTAGAAGGACCTGTGTTGCCGTGTGGAGATAAGTTGGAGGGAAGTAAGATTGGAATCAGGCCAGGAAAGAGGTGATTTCCACTGTCCAGGAGCCGAGGCAGTACTTACCCTCTAGCTCTCCATGTAGACTCATTCATGGCATAAGTAAGGCAGGCACAAAGGGAATTGCAAGGAAAATCAGTGAATTGGCAGCTTTCCAGGGCACACAAGCATCTCTTTTCTGTATTTAGAGGAGAGAGGGGTGGGACATGTGGGTGAAATACTATGCTGAGGAGCTCCCGATCCCCATGTCTCTCCGGCCCTCCTCACCTGCTCTGGGGCTCGCCTGGTTGCTATTCTGTGGCTTCCTGAGGACAGATTTGAGGCAGAAGACTTGAAAATGCGCAGCATCAGGGGGTCTATCAAATAGACGGTCCTAACAATTCTGCGATCTCAGTGAGCGAGCGTCCTGCAGGCAGTCATCCGTGACTCGTGACAATGTCAGGACAGTGCTGGAAAAGTTCCTTTAGAGTATCAGCAGGGTGAAGCAGGGGTTGTAGCCCACCTTACAGCCCCGCTGAAAGGGGAACGCCCTCTATCGGTCATCTTGAATCAACACTCTGGAGGTTCTTGAATTCCTTTTTTCTTAAGTGTAATCAGTTTAACCAGATGTCCATTAGGTGTCTCCCCTGCCACGTGCTGGTAAAGCTTGGAGCCCAGCCGCTGGCTCCTCTCCTACTTAAGCCTACCCCTTCCCTTCCAAAATAACAGATAATACATGTCGTTTTAAACTTAGCATTTACAGATTCTAGTCTAATGTAGGATAGGATTGAGGAGAGAACGGTATGGATTTCTTTAAACAAACACTGACAGTAGTTTACAAACATTGCACCCACAGATAACATCCCATAGGCTCTGCCACAGTGCAGGGGAAGTGACTGAGAACGGGAAGGATCTTCTGGCATCCTTCTGCTCAAACCACACCAGTGGCTATTGGCTTTGCCAAGCACTTGGCTTTTCAAAGAATTATCCAAGAGATAGAGGATCAGTACCAGGGCACCTGGGTGGCTCAGTCGTTTAAGCGTCCGACTCCGACTCAGATCATGATCTCACAGTTCATGAGTTCAAGCCCCGTGTCAGGTCTGTGCTGACAGCTCAGAGCCTGGAGCCTGGTTTGGATTCTGTGTTTCCATCTCTCTCTGCCCCTCCCCTGCTCACACTCTGTCTCGCATAAACAAAAAAAGCTCTTTAGAAGAAGACGTCAGTAATATCATTGCTCTAACACCTCAGTTTATGCTTTGGGAAAACTGTTGAGTTAAATAGTGATGCATCATTTGTGCCTTAAAAAGGCCCAAGAATGAAGAGATGCTCTACTTTGTAATATGTGGTCACTGTTGCAAAAATTCAAAACTTTTCCAACAACAGAAAACTCTTTAGACCAAAGCATAAGCACTTAATAGTCGATACTTAATATGGAAGTCTTTAACCTGCAGCCATAAGTATTATATATAAAAGTGCCACTTAGAGCCAGTATTGGTTCTAATGATTTGTTAGACACCCAGGCAGTTTGCTAACCGCTTTATCAATTTTTATCATTTGAAAGTCATTAACAAGAGGCACCTTCTTTTTCAGATCTTTGGCATGATTTTCAGCATGGTCCTTTGCTGTGCAATCCGAAACTCGCGAGATGTGATATGAAGCTACATCTGCGTGATAACTACACTTGAGAGCTTCCACACGGCTGTCACAGGACTTGTGTCCTGGCTCGTTTTTAATACTCAAAGGACATTAGCATCGAAAATAATTTGCTGTCAATTGTACATTTGCACATGTATGTATGTTTGGCCCATTCCTAATTTACCCCTTGAGCGAATGCTGTGTGTGTTGACTGCGAGCACATTCACGTGTGATCTGCGGGTTTCTGGTGTACGCGTTGTGTGGAATGAAATCTGCTTGCTGAAAATTCCCGGTTCTTGTGATGTTAGAGGAGCAACCTATTTAACACTCAGAAAAAAATCATAAGACTTTGGTAAACTTTAACAACTTAGCTGTTCAGAAGAAGTGATAATGGGTCATTCTCTCAGATTCTAGCCACAGAAAGGTAGATTCAGAGAATTCAGGGATTTCTAGTTAACAGAAGCAGCTACAGGAATTGAGAGATGGTGGTGTAGTGCTAAAATTGACTGCGTCCAAGTTGCGTGTCAGGGCTCCCTGGGATTTTTCTATATACCTACTCTTCCCGGAACACAGTAAACCACAGTTTTAGAATGAAACACATCTGTAAAACTAAATATAGCATGGAAACTCTTATTCGAATCACTCATACTTTCCTAGTATTTAAAAAAAAAAAAAAAAAACCTCCCTCTGGAAAGAGTGGTCACTCAGACAATCACGTGCCCTATAAAAGTGACTGCTTTTAGGACTTAAAAAAAAAAACCCAACCTTTCAATAACTTTTTGAAGACCTTTTTTCTTATATAAATACATTTAAACATTGCTTGATGACTTACTTTCCTTTTATGACTCTACTCTGAACTACAGCAACCCTCCCACAAACAAAAGTGCTTTTATCTCCGAATTTTCCATGTTTCTCCAAATGTAAAGATAGAAAGACGAAAGCAAGTGATCTGGCAGTTGCAAGTCGTGGGAAAGAGAATTCTCACTGGCACTGTATCCTTGAAATACCTCATAACTTGAGTTTACATAGTTTCCTAATTCTTTCTATTTTTTATTCACCTAGAGAAGTCTTCTTCATAGATTACAAACTACAGTTTTCACCACTTAAGAAAACAAAATCCTTCCTAATTCAAATATTGTAAGCATCCTTGGCCAAACCAAAATAAAGAAAGAAAAGCATCTACTAGTTGTATGCACACAGCAGAGGCAAGCTAAGGAAATTTAAAAATTTTAAACACACAGAACAGAAATGTTTTTTCGTGTAAGTCCCCTATAAAAATAAAATTTTCGTATTCTTTATGGTCTCAATGCTCTAATGTGGGTATGTAAACCCAAAGATAGGATCTAAACTGACGTATCTGTCAATTTTTAACAACGTGGTACTTTTGGTAGATCGTGGAGGGTTTACTGTTAATACATTTTAAAAGGCCAGGCAAAGTCAAAGTACTGGGGACTTCGGAAGCCCCCGGGTAAGTTCACAGACCTGTGAGAACACAAGTCTTTGTGGGTGCACTAAAGCAATGTGCTTAGTCCCAAGAAACTTTTACAAAATGCTTTGCTGAAAAGGCCTAATTGCTACAAATAGTGTCATGCGCATAGAGAACCATGCTTCCGCCATACTTGCTACTGCCACTAACTTTGGAGGAAGCCTTTCCAGAAAAAACCATTGGAAGCCAGCTAAAAATATAATCGTACATGGCTACCTTACTGTGTCTATAGCTGATGGAAAGATTATTTTAAGAAAGTCACTACGTGAAATAGATGCTTATACCCCAGTAAGTGACAGATACAACCTTCGAAGCACAGAGCAAGCGGTCCCATCTCTCTGGCTTCAGTTCATCCGTCTACCTGAAGACAGGCCCAGGTGCATACTCAGGTTTCTTGCAGCTCAGAATCCTCTCTGATTCAACAAAACTGAGTTTCATTCCATATCCGAATTAACAACCTTAAAGACAACAATAGTTAGGAAGATTAGAGAACTGTTCCATACATGATTCATGTACCCGTTTGGGGAGTAATTTTTCGAAAATATGTACCATGAGTAAAATTAGAGAATTCCACCCCTGAATGAGGGTAGATTTATATATATCCTGAATCTATATATATCTTGAATTCCTATGTATCTTGAATCTATATATCTTGAATATATAACTCGAATATATACATATGCAACTTGAATATACGTATATATGCATGTGTTTACAGACATACATACGTGTATACGTATATGTACACATATATACACACATATATAAATTTTTGGTTATGTCTGTTTACCTGAACTGATTTGAGATCAGACTCAAACATATTCTTAAGCATCTGGTGCCAAGGCACTGAATTAAAAATTTCCTGATGAACTATTTTAAGTTATTTCAAATTAAATTTTCTATGTACTGGAATTGCTTGTTTGCTTTTATCTTAAAATTCTATTATATCTCTATACACACCTTTACACAAATGTCCAACCACCAAAAAATATGGTTTAAAAAGGCAAGAGTTAAAAAATGAGTTAAAAAAAAGAATATGGTTAAAAAAGGCAATCCTTCTACAGTTAACTATGAGGAACTGGACTTAAAGCAACACCCTAAGGACGTTCATGCAAATAGTTGTATTTCATTTAACATGGTTTTGTCCAAATTCTACATCCCTTCCCCAGAATCGCTCCTTTGTTGTCCATGGTTCAGTCTGTAAAGCAGCACACTGATCCTGGGGCCACCGTAGTCCCCATGCAGTCATGGAAGATAGTTGCTAATATCCATGTGCCCTGCTAATAGGTTTGCTTGATGAGAATAAGGCTTGTGGGAAGACAGCAGCGAAGGAGATAGCGTATCTTCCCTTCTGAAGTATCAAAGATTAAAAGGAAGGGGCACCCTTGTAAATGCAGGCAGTACACTCCAACTTACCTGGTTCACTGCTCTGTTGACATCCCTTTGAGGGAGCGGTTGTGGGCCCTTGAAGCTAGTCCGTTAACTACAGCATCTTAGTTTGGACTCATCAAAATCAAATTTGTATGAAGGTATACTTTAAGGGGAACAAAAGTTTTCTAGCTTCTTTCAACATGACTTTATTTTTTCCTATAAAATACATATCTTATGTATAAAATAAAATTATATGTAGGTGCCCACTGAAAGGTAAAAAAGACGACACTAATGCAAAATATTAATCATCCTCAGTGTTAACAAAAGTTAAAGGCATTCCGGGAAACCACTATCCCAATGCTATCTCCTGGGGACACGGAAAGTGTGATGGAGAGAAGCAGTATGTCCTGAATGTCGCAGAGCAAAATCTATGTTGATTTTGTCAAGTTTTTAGCCAGAAACCCATCTGAAGCTTTGGTATTTCTTTTTGGGGGGTTTTTTCCTTGTATAATTAAATGATGGTTTTACTTACATTAAATAGAAGAAATTTAAATTAAAAGAAAAAACCAACAAAATGCTTAGCAAAAACATGGCAACTAATGAATAGTAAATCTTTATAATTATTATATTGATAAGGACTTCAGTTATAAATCAAATATGCATCCCCATGCACAACTGACTATAACTTTTGCATGATACCAAATACCTATTTGAACAGATTCATTTGTTGAATTAATGAATAGCTTTTGATCTATTTCCCCATTCTATTTTAATTCAAAGGCTTGTTACCAATAGCCAGAGCCAGAGCCCCTATATATCCCCCTCGGCATGCCCTGCCTTATAAGATGCAACCCACTCTAATATTGGAATTTTCTTTTACTTTATTCGGGAGCTACTATTTTATACATTTGAAGAAACTCTTTACAAAATACTGATATGCTAAGATGAACAAGAGAAGTCTCTGCCTTCGAAACCTAGAGTGGAAAAAAAGCAGGCAAATACAACTCCCATGAGGTAAGCGCTATGATAATCATTAACCACGCGGAGACCTTCTCAACCTTGGAAAGGATGGTCAGGGGAGAGGGGTTTCCTAAATTCTGAGGTCTCTAAACTGAGTCCTGAAGAACTCATGCAAATCAGCCAAGTAAAAAGGAATAGGAGTCGAGAAGAAAAGGGGGCTTCTGGGGGGAACAACATAAAAGACCCTGAAACAGAGAACATGGAAACATCCCATGAGGACATGTCAAGAAGTCAGGAAGAGATGAAGGGCCCCATTAAACTGTACCAAGGTGTCTTCTCTCTGTATAGAGATCATAGGAAATGTTTTCTTAATGTTTATTTATTTTTGAGAGAGAGACACAGAGTGAGAGAGTATGACACAGAATCCAAAACAGACTCCAGGCTCTGAGCTGGCAGCACAGAGCCCAACACAGGGCTTGAACTCATGAACCACGAGATCATGACCTGAGCCGAAGTCAGACACTTAACCAACTGAGCCACCCAGGCGCCCCTAGGAAATATTTTTTACTTTACTTTTACATATTGTGATCTTTATTTTTTCCTTCTGACAGTTTACATTTTAGTTAGCAGTATTGGTTTCAGGAGAATTCAGTGATTCATCACTTACGTACAACACCCAGTACTCATCACAAGTGCCCTCCTTAGTACCCACCGTCCATCTAGCCCATTCCCCCCACCTACCTCCCTCCATCAACCCATAGTTTGTTCTCTATCATTAAGAGTCTCTTGTGGTTTGTTCCCTTCTCTTCTCTTCCCCTCCTTCCCATGTTTCCCTTTTGTTTCTTAAATTCCACATGAGTGAAATCATTTGGTATTTGTCTTTCCCTGACTTACTTCACTTAGCATTATTACACTCTTTAGATCGATCCATATCATTGCAAATGGCAAGATTTCATTCTTTTTATGGCAGAATAATAACCATTGTATATATACACACCACATCTTCTTTATCCATTCATCTTTCAGTGGACACTTAGGCTGCTTCCATAACTTGGATATTGTAAATAACGCTAGTTTAAGCATCAGGATGCACATATCCCTTTGAATCAGTATTTTTGTATTCTTTGGGTAAATACCTAGTAGTGCAATTTCTGGATCATAGGGTAGTTCCATTTTTAACTTTTTGAGGAAACTCTGTATTATTTTCCAGAGCAGCTGCACCAGTTTGCATTCCCACCTACAGTGCAAGAGAGTTCGCTTTCTCCTTGTTCTCACCAACACCTGTTGTTTCTTGTTAATTTTAGCCATTCTGATAAGTGTGAGGTGGTATCTCATAATGGTTTTGATTTGCATAACCCTGATGATGAGTAGCATTGAGCATCTTTTCATGTGTCCATTGGCCATTTGGATGTCTTCTTTGGAAAATTGTTTGTTCGTGTCTTTTGCCTATTCCTTAACTGGGTTCTTTGTTTTGGAGGTGTTAAGTGTGATAAGTTCTTTATAGATTTTGGATACTAACCCTTTATCAGATATGTCATTTGCAAATATCTTCTCCCATTCTGTAGGTTACCTTTTAGTTTTGTTGATTGTTTCCTTCACAATGCAGAAGCTTTTTATCTGGATGAAGTCCCAATAGTTCATTTTTGCTTTTGCTTCTCTTGCCTTCAGCAACCCGTCTAGTAAGAAGCTGCTCCAGCCAAAGTCACACATGATTCTACCTGTGTTCTCCTCTGGATTTTGATGGCTTCCTGTCTTAAATTAAGGTCTTTCATCCATTTTGAATTTACTTTTGTGTATGGTCCAGCTGCATTCTTCTGCATGTCGCTGTCCAGTTTTCCCAACACCATTTGTTGAAGAGACTGTCTTTTTTCCATTGGATATTCTTTCCTGCTTTATTGAAAACAAGTTAACCATATAGTTGTGGGTCAATTTCTGGGTTTTCTATTCTGTTCCAGTGATGTATGTGTCTGTTTTTGTGCCAGTACTATACTGTCTTGATCACTACAGCTCTGTAATATAGCTTGAAATCTGGATTCATGATGCCTCCAGTTTTGTTTTTCTTTTTCAGAATTGTTTTGGCTTTTTGGGGTCTTTTGCAGTTCCATACAAATTTTAGGATTGTTTGTTCTAGCTCAGTGAAAAATGCTGGTGGCATTTTGACAGGGATTTCATTAAATGTGTAGACTGCTTTGGGTAGTATAGACATTTTAACAATGTTTGTTCTTCCAGTCCATGAGCACAAATGCTTCTCTGTTTGGGTTTTGTTTTGTTTTTTCTGTTTTTTTATGTTTTTTGCGTGTCCTCTTCAATTTCTTTCATAAGTGTTCTATAGTTTTCAAAGTTTAGCTATTTTACCACTTGAGTTAGGTTTGTTTATTCCTAGGCATCTTATTGTTTTTGGTGCAATTGAAAATGGGATCAATTCCTTGATTTCTTTTTCTGTTGCTTCATTAGAGGTGTATAGAAATGCCACTGATTTCTGCATGTTGATTATATATCCTGCAACTTTGCTGAATTCATGTGTTAGTTCTAGAAATTTTTTGGTGGAGTCTTCAGGTTTTCTACGTAGAGTATCATGTCATCTGAGAATAGTGAAAGTTTGACTTCTTCCTTCCTTTTAGTTGTCTGTTTGCTGAGACTAAGATTTCCAATACATGTTAATAGTCATGGTGGGAGTGGAAATCCTGGTCTTGATCCTCACTGTAGGGAAAGGATCTCAGTTTCTCCCATTGAGGATGATATTAGCTGTGGGTCTTTCATATATGGCCTTTATGATGTTAAGGTACGTTCCATCTATCCATACTCTGTTGAGGGGTTTTTATCAAGAATGGATTCTGTATTTTGTCATATGATTTTTCTGTATCTTTTGACAGGATCATATAGTTCTTATCCTTTTATTATTATTATTAATGTGGTGTATCACATTGATTGAACCAGCCCTGCAGCCCAGAAATAAATCCCACTTGATCATGGTGAATAATTCTTTTAATGTACTGTTGAATTTGATTTGCTAGTATCTTGTTGAGAACTTTTGCATCCATGTTCATCAGGAATGTTGGCCTGTAATTCTCCTTTTTAGTGGGATCTTTGTCTGGTTTTGGAATCAAGGTAGTGCTGGCTTCATATAATGACTTTGGAAGTTTTCCTTCTATTCTGTTTTTTGGAACAGTTTGAGAAAATAGATGTTGACTCTTTAAATGTCTGGTAGAATTCCCCTGGGAAGCCATCTGGCCCAGGACTCTTGCTTGTTGGGAGATTTTTGACTACTAATTCAATTTCTTTACTGGTTACGTGTCTGTTCAAATTTTCTATTTCTTCCTGTTTCAGTTTGGCAGTCTGTGAGTTTTCAGAATTTGTCCATTTCTTCCAGATTATCCGGTTTGTTGGCATATAATTTTTCATAGTATTCTCTTACAGTTGTTTGTATTCCTGTAGTGTTGATTGTGATATCCCCTCTTTCATTTGTGATTTTATCTATTTGGGTCCTTTCTCTTTCCTTTTTGATAAGTCTAGCTAGAGGATTATCAATTTTGTTAATTATTTCAAAGAACCAGCTCTTAGTTTCATTGATCTGCTCTACT